ATGGCTATGGAAATATAATTCAAATATCTATCTTTTGATAGATCATAGGACATCTAACTTATTTTGTGCTAAGAGTTATGATCATTTGAAGTTGCCCCAACAATATTTTCCCCCTTACTGACTGCTAACTCTCACCTACGGTTATACGTACAGACTATAGATCGAATGACGGTCCATGATGGTCATCCGTCATTCGTTTCAGAGGCTAGGTAGTAAGAGTCTCAATCCACACATAACATCGATGGACCATAGTCTGATCTACAAATCATCGGCCCGTTCATGGGTCGAGACTTAGTGATTTTGCGGAGCTGAATTTTTGGAGGGATGTAGTGACAATCTACGGACCTGCAGTACGGGCCGTAGATCAGACTGTGGTCTATCGATGGTAACCGTCGATTGGACCTGCAATTATTTTCTGAAAACTAGATTTTGGGTCTGTTTTGAGTACGGGGTGTTACAAAAATATTGAGGTGCTTCCTTGAATACACTTAAGCTAATTGGTAATGCAGCTACTTAGAATTAGTGGACTGCATTTTGAGTGAAAAAAGGCAAGAAATTAAGGATACACCTACTTGCTTACAATAAAAGTCCATATTATTTCCCAATTTATTAAAGGGAAAACGTCCAAAATGGAGCCTCAAAAGAATCAAGCTTGTCATGTCTCCTTCATATCACTTATTCTCCAAAAAATTACTCCTATGGAAAGCCATGGAAGCTCCAAGAGTTCTGGTCTATAGATTTACCATTGAATCTCAAGCAAACCTATTGTTTTAAAAGTAACAGTTGGTAGAACATCTCCCATATTAATAAATGAAAGTGAACAATCTAATTTAACATCAAGGTAAGTGAGAGAGGACAACCTAAACCATGAAGAATCCAAGTCTTCGAAAGTGAGGTTTCTGTCTAGCAAGGTAATTTGTGGAAATTTTTATCCCTCTCTTGTTCTAGCATTATTTGTAAAAGTTTGCATGTGTTAATGAACTGAGGGGTGTTACCTCTATATTGTGTGAGCTTGGTGAATGTTCAGGAAGGAGGTGCTTGTAGGGACAGACATGGAGTGAAGTCCCCTTAAATTTTTGATTGTGAGCTTGTTTTGAGAATCTAAATGTTAGTTAGAATTTACGGGATGTTGATTGGATGTCATGAGTTCATATTTCTATATCAACATTGTGTGGCTTATGGATTGTCTTGTGTACACTTAAATAAGGGGGTGGATCGATATGTGCAGACAAGACATCCGAACTGGTTAGAGGATTGAACATTGAAAAGTGTAGATACATGACGCTTAATTGAGTGTTGCATGAGCTTACTTCCTACCAGCCCTTTGTATAGTGTTTTCCAAACGTGTGAAGCCCAAGGAGTTACGGAAGACCTTATGAGAAGGTTTTATAGTATAAGAATAAAATTAGAGGAGAATGGGTGGGAAGAACACCCTTGATGATATCAATTGTAGATTTAATGTCAAATACTATTTTGGTATTGATCAAGTAGCCCAAATTTGTTGATTAGTTACTAATGCTAGTTTTATTATTTACTCCATTGTAGAGAATGGGTGGGAAGAACACCCTTGATGATATCAATTGTAGATTTAATGCCAAATACTATTTTGGTATTGATCAAGTAGCCCAAATTTGTTGATTAACTACTAATGCTAGTTTTATTATTTACTCCATTGTAGATAAATAATTTGAAAGGAAGACAATTATCTCATTGTAATATCCAAAGTTGTGCAGCAACATATGTAAGGATATTTGATTTCATATTTCTTTGGCATGAATCCAAAACTTGCATTAGAAAAAGTAAGATTTCTATCTGCCCTTGGTTGTGACTGGTCCATAGTTACAGTTCGTACTCCTTAGATCAATAAAGTGAGCGCTCTAATATGAGTTTGTTACTAAATGTGCATGTTTACTCTATCGAGTGTTAGCATGCGAGTATAAACTTGTTTCATTGTCAAAGTACCCCTAGCACGTATTAATCCTATATTACACATGGTATAAATGTTTATAGGATGGATATACGATCTACCCATATCTTGCCAACTTGCTTCAATAGTCTATTCTATCGTATATGCCATCCATATGAATCCAATGCGAGCAGATATCTTTCACCCATTTTAACACATAATATTGAGAATTAACTCCAGCTCTCTCTCTCTTTTTTTCTCTTCAAGATTATAAATGAAGTTTTGAGATGTTCTAGGGTTCTTCAAGAAACCCTCATATCTGCAAACCAAGGTAAGTGTAACATCCTGTATTCTACGTGTACTAGTTCTGTGTATATGTCTCTTAAAAATTTCCTTGTGCTATAGTTATGGACTCACTTTCCTATGCGATTGATGACTGTAGAATATGTTCAAAATTGTAATACCCCGAGCCTTCCAACACATATATGAATAAATAAACTAAAAAACAATTTAAACTGGGGATAGTAAAAGGTTGTATAGCTAGACGGGTATACAAAAATTGCTTTGTCACAGTATCTCAGAAGTCAACTCAACAAATCTTGTAGAGATAGAAATGGTAGACTTTGATGTCATTCTAGGCATGGATTGGTTACATTCCTGTCATGACTCAGTCGATTGTAGAATTAGGATTGTACATTTTAAGTTTCCAAACGAACCAATCTTAGATTAGAAGGGTAGTAGCTTAGCGCCTATGGGTTGATTCATTTCTTATCTTAAGGCCAGAAATATGATCTCTAAGGGTTATTTCTATCATCTAGTTTGGGTTAAGGATTATAGCTTTGAAACCCCAACTCTAGGGTCAGTTCCAATAGTCAGTGAGTTTTCACAAGTGTTTCTAAAAGATCTTCCTGTAGTTCCTCCCAAAAGGGAAATCCTCCAGAAAATTACTAACAAGGAAACTCATGGAAGCTCCAAGAGTTCTGGTCTATAACTTCACCATTAAAATCTGAAGCAAACCCATTGCTTCAAAAATACAAGCTGGTTAAACATCTCCCATCTTAAGGAATTCAAGTGAATAATATGATTTAACATGAAGGTAAGTGAGAGAGGATAACCTAAACCTAGAAGAATCCAAGTCTTGGTAAGTGAGGTTTCTGTCTAGCAAGGTAAGCTGTGGAAATTTTCATCCCTCTCTTGTTCTTGCATTATTTGTAAAACTTTGTATGTGTTAATGGACTCAGGAGTATTGCCTCTAAATCCCTTATGGGTTCCAAGGTATTCCTTTAATTATTAAGAGTTAAGGGATTTATCATTCAAAGGGAAGTAGACTGGGTGAGCTTGGTGAATGTTAAGGAAAGAGGTGCTTGTTGGGACATACATGGAGTGGAGTCCCCTTAAATTTTGATTGTGAGCTTGTTTTGAGAATCTAAATGTTCGATGGAACTCACGAGATGTTAATCGAAACTCATGAGTTCATATCGCCATTTCCACATTGTGAGGCTTAGGGACTATTTTGTGTATCATAAAATAAGTGGGGGTGGATGGATATGTGCATACAAGTCACTGGTACTGGTTAGAGGATACAACATTAAAAAGTGTAGATATAAGACGCTTAATTGAGTGTAACATGGGCTTACTTTCGTGTATATTATTTTCCAAATGTAGGAAGTCCAAGGAGTTCCGGAGGACTTTATATGAAGGCTACATAGTATAAGAAAAAATTTAGAGGAGAATGGGTGGGAAGAACACCCTTGATGGTATCAGTTATAGATTTACTGCCATGTATTGTTCTGGTCTTGATCAAGTAGCCCAAATTTGTTGATCAACTACTAGTTCTAGTTTTTATTATTTACTCCATTGAAGATAAATAATATGAAAGGAATATGGTTAACACATTGTAATATCCGTTGTTGTGCAGCATGGTATGTGAGGCTATTCGATTTCCTCTTTTCTTATGCATGAATCCGAAACATGCATTACAAAAAGTAAGCTTTGTAAGTGAACTTAGTAGTGATTGATCCACAATTACAGTTCCCACTCCCTAGAGTATTAAAGTGAGCACTCTAATATGAGTTTATTACTAAATGTGTGTGTTTACTCTGTCAAGTGTTAACATGCAAGGTTTTAACTTATTTTATTGTCAAAGTACCCCTGACACGTATTTCCCTTATGTAAGTCAAACTGATCCTAGATTACACATGGTACTTATATTTATAGGATGGATATATGATCTGCCCATATGTTGCCAACTTTCTCCAATAGTCTATTCCATTGTATATGTCATCTTTTCACATACTAACGTGTTCCCTTTATGGGTTATTACTCTTATTGTGTTAGACTATAAAGTTACCTCACAAGATCCTACTTTCTCTAGTGTACATTTTATATCTATACTTGGAATATGTACCCGTCCTTAAGTTGAATTTTCCCACATTCCCCCTTGGTTCTACATACCTTGTATATTTGTATCATATAGAGTTCAAATCTCTTGTCCGAATGTAAAATGTCTTTACTTGATGTGCTTCAATTTTAAATGTCAAATGGTACCAAATGGTTACCGAGTCATATAAGCTTCTAAGTATAATGTTGGTGTCACATTTGCTTGCCATGTCATTGTTATTATAGTAAGTCCATATTCATATGTCTTCTACTACTGGTCCATAGTTCCATCAAATTCAATAGAGCTAATATAGGATTCATTTAATATATGCAGCAGTAATTCTATTACAACCAGAATCTAGACCCTAGACGAGACTGGAAACATTGACTTCTCAAAGGTCACAGATAAGCCTACATACGCCATCTTTACTTCATCTAGGTTAATTTTTGCGAAAAATTTGATTTTTTATTATTTCAAATTCGTATGAGTTCTACTTAAACTCATAAATGTTCAAAATCAACCATCTAACATTAAGATCATCAAATGAAAGAAATAGCTCATAGGTTCATTAAAGGTGTACTTGCCAAAACGGCACCAATACAAAATCTGAAATGTTGTGGGAAATGAAACACTAGTGGGATATGCTCCACTAGCTAAGGCCTATATTTGAGCTAGATAATAACAGTAGACAACTTCAAAAGCATGAGGGCCTACCAAGTACGGATGAAATCTCCACGTCAAGATAGCTGTAACGTTGTACCATACGATCTAACGTACACCTATGCCTGCACCTAAAAATAGATAATTGAATGGAATTAGTACACACTTGTACTAAGTATGTGTATATGCAAGCACACACAAAGGACATGCATGAGTAAGAATATATATTTCCTAACAACATGATTTATGGAAAGTTAAGTCAGTGGACTTGTCAAATTTGGAATAGGAAAGTCAATGGACCTGCCAAATTTTGATTAGGAAAGTCATGCCATAACAGTGTAACATGCATCATCAAATTTATCATTTTGCAAACAGCACATAACATATTTCACATATCATATCACGTAGTTCATATCATTCTTTCATATGACATGAGACTTTGGAATCATGGACTTGACATTAGGACTTCCCAAATTGAGGGCTCAACATATGGGACCTCAACTAGGGAGCCTTCTTTATCAAACAAGAGTTTGCTTCACTCATTCATACGTACTTAATTTTTCATTCTTTGATATACTAGTATAATCACCAGTCATACCTAGGATGTAGTTTAAAACTGTCATCGGGTTTGCTGTAGCAATGACCAAGAATAACCTAGCGTCATTACGTAAGTCTAGCTCACCTCTTGATTATCCTATCCTTAAACCTTTGGTATTGTTCATCTTCCCTAGATCAATATCTTCCGAGGGAGCAAGTCAAATTAGCTGACTGGGCAATCAATTTATTGGAGAAGAGAAAACTGGAAAATATCATAGATCCCGACCTTCAGAGCGAAGTAAAACCAGATCCTTCAAGTTTTGAGAAACAATGGTGAAATACTTAGATAAATCTGGTGTAGACAGGTGCTACGAAATTTGGAGTATGCACTTTATTTCCAAGAGTCTGTCACTCAAGAAAAAGAAACATCCCTATTAGCAAGCTATCACTGCAAACATGTAGATGCATGTTAAGAAGCAGAATCCCAATAACCTAAACAGTAAGCCAAAGAAGTTGAGCACTGGTAATATAGAAAAAAGAATTATTCAAACTACGGTATACCCACCCTGTCATCAATACTTCTGCAGTTCTCGAAAGTATCTCCAAGATCTTTTTTATAACTTAGAAATCTGCATGTGACCCTCCCTTTGGACGAATCATAGCCTTCTAATCTTGGTAAATAATGGGCCCGCCCTCTACCCCTCTCCACTAAAATTCCGGGCTTCACTTTGCATGGTGTGGGGATCGAACCTGTGACACCACCTTCTTCCACTCGAGCTAAGCCTCGGAGGCAGTCTGTGCAAGATTATTATGCCAGCTTTCGATGGAAATTTCCTCGATAATTGAAGATCATCCAACATTTTCAAGTTTACAAGCAGTGAATAATTAGCATCACCATCCTGCACCAAGAAAAATTGCACATTCAAAAAAATGCATCACTAAAACGCATAGTCCCCTGCAATTTGTTAAGGTGCTACAATACTTCTTTTATTGCAGATTAAAGTTTGAGAGGCTGAGTTAGAACAGGCCTGAGAAGACAAAGACAAATGTTTTAATGATATAAACAGGCTAAACTAAGATTGGGGGTGGAAAGGTAGATACACATTACTTTACATTGAAAGTGATGCAGAATCTCAAAAATAACTAAACATTATTCGAGTTATTTAACATATTCTATCATAAAATAAAAAATATGCTTCATATGCTCTCTATTTGAGTAAATAAAAAAAAGGAGATTCATTGCAGGCTATCATATAATGAATCAATTTGAGTCTTGCACTACCTCCTCATATTAAACATTCTAAATTGAGTTCTCATGGTGATGGCCTAGTGATTGTGACAAGGAACTTTGAGGTGCTTTACACCAAAGCGCATCACTCACAATGAGGTCCAACTACTACTGATGTAGCTGATGTAATGCTCTATTATTTTCAAAAGTGAAAGAAAGGAAAAGGACTAGAAGAGGGATATTAGTTTTGGTAATGGAGAAATAAAGCAAGAGGCGCAGATTATGTCATGGGTCTTTCTGTTCTTTGTGCAAAGCCATAGCTAAAAATATTCAAAAATTCAGATTTCCCCGCCAAGACAGCAGCTACCGAACTCTAACGTCTTCCAAAAAAAGTTGAGCCACTAGAAGACTAGGCTCACTGCCCAAAACTACATTACTATTTTCATGTTTAAATGTAATGTCCACTCTACTAAGATGATAAATCATTTGCAGCATATCCTCAAGTCCATAGGAATAATTTAAGACTGTGACAGAGTAGACTTAAGCTAGTAGATCGAATTTTGGATAAAAATGGTGTGTACATGTATTAGTGGGAAAAATTTTGAGATCCCTGCATCATGTATTCCTCATTTTTTAAGGTGCATTATTTCTCTGAGGTTATATCACCTAGGACATTTACATCTAAGCACAACTAGAATTTTAAAACATAAGTTGAAATAGCATAGTAGTTCTTGTCAGTTGGATTGCACTAATTGATTAATCACAAGAACTGTGACAAAAATAGATCATCCTATTAAATTAAATAAATAAGTGTTACCCGTATGAAAGCCAACCACTCCGTCCTTTCATTGCCTAGTTCAAGCTTATCCAATCTGATCCATTGAGGGCAACCAGACTCTTCAGGTCCATAGGATCTTCTTGATTCCATACGCATGGAAATAAGGGCATCCATCATCAGTTTACCAAGTCTGGAAGCTGCTTCCTTTGCATATATCTGATGAGTACCCTAAAGCTACCTGTGGATTATACAAGGGTTGCTTTCATGAAAAGCCATTGTTCTTAAAAAAAGACCACAATCTAAACCAAGAAAAACAACATACTCAATTAACCAAAAGAGAACATAGAAGGCACTATCAGGAGATGAGTGAACCAAGCTGCAACTCCCCACGACTCTCAGAAGCACAGAAGTTCAATGCTTTTACACAAGATTCTACGAGATTCCTTCTCACCATCCTTAAAAAATGCCTCTTTAACCAGAACGAACGGAAGATTTAAAATCCTGAAAAAGCAAAAGAAAACAACTTTTAGTTACTAATTCAAATAAAAATTATTTCATATTGGCAATCCCCTATGTTGTTCATAATCGTAATAAGTTCCACAAATGCACCTGAAGGAAGACTTGGCAGACATCAGTGGGAGCATTTAATGAAATTCTCCTTCTTAAATACTAGACTTCTCCATACTGCACTAGTGCCCATTTCTGGAACAATGATACGTTGATAATGAACTCATCTTCAATCCCCTTAAATTTATTGAGGTTGAAGTCCTGTAACTCCCAACAAATCTCAGTAGCCCAGAATTTCAAAAGCCCTGTTGAAGGGAGGCACCCCAAACTAAAAATGAGATTGTGTCCTCGCAGTCCAAATATCAAAAGAGAATACTATAGCACTTCATAGTAACATTTCGATATTACTATTATTAATAAGGAAAAGATTGAGAAGTCAAATGTCATTTGGAAGTAGTTCGATAGGAAAAAACAATCTTAGAAAACTATAATCGAGCATAAGATGAAACTAACCAAAACTGACAACAATGCTAAAGTACTTCGTAGGCGCAGCAACGTGCTTGAAGAATGTCAAGGAACCTGTTAGAAAACTGAGCACTAATCCTGCATCCATAGCCTGCAAATTGATCAATATTTAAACAGTAAGTTTCAAGGGAGAGCTTCATGGTGGCAGGATACCAACAACTATACTGCTAACATAAGGCATTATTCAATAATTCGTCACACATCAAGATGGTTCAAAATCTTACTTCCTTTTCAAAATACAAGTAGCATTGAAGATTTTAACCTTAAGAAAATAAGAATTTGGTCTACTTGTGGATAAAACAGCGAACAAGCTAAAACGAGGAAATACAACCAATAACAGCATTTGACTATAAAATATTTTGGAAATCCAACACAAAATAGAATGTAAGATGACCCCAAGTGGTAAATTTAAAGTCTCAGATCTTATCAACTTATAAACAAGTATTTTACTAAGATACGAGTAAATCAACCAAAGAGACATGTTTCGAATATACCCGAAATTAGAACAAGAGACAACAGGCACAATGTAAAAGAGAGTAAGGCGGTAAGTTATCCGATTCATCCTGTTTACACTAGTCAAGATACAAATTTAGTAATTGATGCCCATGACATATTAGGAAAACAAACCCACCTAAAAACTAAATTTAGAATTTCAAACTAAATCACAAATCACAGACAATATGATAAGATTAAACATTGATTGCAACCACACCTTTGAAATCAAAGAGGAAAATCTACAAAGAAGAAAAAAGAAAGAACCTCTTTTAGTGTATGTATTTGCTAAACTAAGGTCGGTCGAGTTGTATTGTCTATCTTTTTTCCCTATTTTATTCAACCCCTAACTCTGAAATTTAGGGAATCCGAAATTGGGAAAATAACAAAGCAACAGAAACCATTATTGGACAATAACAAAGGATTCAGAAAGATATGAAAGCGAGGTTACCTTTCTAGAAACAGCGTTGTTGCATATTCTACCATAAGCTGAGAATTCCAAAGAGACCCAAAAGTGACTAACCTTAAAAAATGGAGATAAGGTCGAATTGAGGGAGGGAAACAAAACGGATGAAAGAATAAAGAGAAGAGAAAATACCAATGGATTCCAAATCGGAGTGGAGGTGGACGGGTCTAATCGAACACCTTTCGTACGAGGTGAAGAAGGAAGGAAGATGAAGCGACTGGAATGCCGTTGACGGCATTAATGAACGTTGGAAGTGGCAAACGCCAGAGTCTCCTCTTTCAACGTTGGAATTATCGATTTGTAGTGTTAGTGTATAGACGTTGTGTAAAGAATGTTAGACTTAGAGTTGAATGGTTTTACAGGAATTGGATCGGTGGGGTTGGGCACAATTTTGGTCTTTTTGATGGGTTGGATATTTGTAATAACGAAATAGCAAAAATTGAGTTCGTTTTGTCAATTCGACTAAAATTTTAATAAAACAAATTAACTAACAACCTTAACAAAATTAAATATTAAACCTAAATACAAATATGATTTTCTAACGTAAGTCATTAACTTTATTCAATAATGAATTCTACTTTTCTTTAAAAAATAACATACAAACAAAATTATACTAATGACAAAAACTATATATTTATAATAGGAGAGGTGAAAAACGCCACATGTCAGCATCCTAAAAAAGGAATTTCTAAATAAATAAAATTAATTATATATAATAAGATTAAATAATAAATTATTGTTTAATTGATAAAATATTTTCAAATAAATGACACATGGCAAGCGATTGCAAAAAAAACGGTTTACATATTTACATAACAAAATTTTAGAAAAATAATAACTTATAAATTATAAATGAAAAAAAATAAAAAAGGTTGTGGAGGAACACAAAAAAAACATTTATATATTTGAATAACAAAATGTTTGAAAAATAATAGATTATAAATTACAAATGCAAACTTTTATATATTAGAAAAATAACTCTCATATTGACACATGGCAGGCGATAACAACATAAGTAAATACTTAAATAATGAAATTTGAGAAAAATAATAAATAATAAATTATTTATGAAAAAAATCAAAAACGGTGGATTTTTAAAAAAACTTATTAAGACTTTTTTTCTTCCTTTTGAAAACTCTATAATTTGAATTATTGTAATTAAAAAATAAAAAAATAACATATATAAAACAAAATTATAAGATCACAAATAATTTTAAAGCTAATTATAATTTTCTAAACTACTTACAGTTTTTAAAATTAATTTCATACTAACTAAAGACTCAATTATTACATCAAAAAAGTTAAAATTAAGAATAAAATGATTTGTAAAAGAAAGAATCACTATCATGTTTTATTTTATCTTTGTATTATACAATATAGGAAGAAAATTTTAAAAAGATGTTAAAAAAAAAGAAAAGGGAATCTCCCATACGTTCGCAGAAAAAAAAATCTTCTACACGTCTGCAAATTTTTCATTAAAACAAAATAATATGCATATATATATATATATATATATATATACATACATATACATATACATATATATATATATATATATCATATGAAAATAAAAATAAAAACAATAAACACTAAAAAAGAATGCTATTTGAAAAAATAAAATAAAAATAATTTAACTACCCTTTTTATTTTTTTAAAAATGATAGTTATATAATAAGATTTAATAATAAACTATTGTTGAACTGATAAAATATTTTAAATAAATGACACATGGCAAGCGGTTGCAACAAAAAAAGGTTTGCATATTTATATAACAATTTTTTAGAAAAATAATAAATTATAAATTAACAAAAAAAAAAGGTTGTGTAGAAACAATTTTTTTAAATATATTTAAATAACAAAATGTTAAAAAAACAATAAATTATAAATTACAAATGCAAAAATCAAAAACGGTTGTGTAGCAACATATAAAAAACTTTTATATATTTAAATAACAAAAATTTAGAAAAATAAGTCCCATATTGACTCATGGCAGGAGACAACAACACAAGTAAATATTTAAATAATGAAATTTTAGAAAAATAATAAATAATAAATTATATAGGGAAAAAATCAAAAACATTGGATTTTTATTATAAAACTTATTAAGAATTTTCTTCTTCCTTTTAAAAACTCCATAATTTGAATTATTGTAATTAAAAATAAAAAATTAACAAATATATAACAAAATTATAAGCTCACAAATAATTTCAAAGCTAATTATATTTTTCCAAACTACTTCCAATTTTTAAAAAGTAATTTCATACTAATTAAAGTACTCAATTACTACATCTAAAAAAATTAAAATTAAGAATAAAAAGATTTGTAGAAGCGAGAATTCCTATCATGTTTTATTTTATCTTTGCATTATATAATATAGGAAGAATTTTTTTTTTTAAAAAAAGAAGATGTTAAAAAAAAGAAAAAGGAAATTTCCCACACATTCGAAGAAAAAAAACTCTTTCACACGTTCGCAAATTTTTTATTAAAATAAAATAATCTACATGTATAAATTAATATGCAGAACTTGTATATTTAACATATGAAAATAAAAATAAAAACAGTAAACACTAAAAAAAGATGATATTTGAAAAAATAAAATAAAAATAATTTAACTACCCTTTTTGAATTATTTTTTTTTAAAATGGTAATTATCTAATTACTATCCAAACGTAAGTTTTTAAAATTTGGCTAATTAATTTAAAATTTAAAATTTAAAATTCAAAAAATAAGAAACTAATTTTATCTTTATCCCTAGAAAAAAAGCCAATCGAATAACGTAGTACTTAAATAGCAAGAACTATTCTTAGCTCTTATCACTTACATATTCTTAAGAGTCTATTGATTTCAGAATTTCATATTCTCTTATATTTATTCGACCACTTGAACACGGTAACGTTTTTTTGTTTTTCCTGTTATTTTTTATATTACTTTTGTTTATGGTGGTTAATCTTCGCTCTTTGAAGTGATTGTAATATATACATAATTGTGGTTGTATGCAAATGATTTAGGTAGTAATTAGTAATTTATTTGTAATTGATATCAAGATTAAACAGGTCTTGATAATGATCATGAAATAATAAATATTGGTATTTGCTTATGGAATCTACTTTTATTTGTTAGATCTATTAAAAATTCTATTAGATTAACGAGAAACACTCTCATATATATATTCAATGGAGAAATATGTTTACCTTTGTAATTATTATTGTGCAAGTATAAATTGGATAACTCAAATTTAAACTTGATTTTTTGAATTGCATGCAATTTTTAAGTTTCTGACATTATATAATTTAAATTTTAAATTTATATTTTAAGTTATACAAAAATGTATTTAATATGTTGAAAAGGTGTCATAATTTGAAATTAACAACATGATTTCATCTTTTATTGAGTTAGTTAAGGAAAATCATAGTAATAATTTTATGAGAATTTGCACTTTTCACATAACAATTGTTTGATAACTTAATTTTTTTAAAGAAAATATTAATATCTTTATTGTAAGTTGTATGTTTTTACGTTTTGTACTTATTTCAAATAACTATTAATATAATTAATTTGTCTTTCTAATAAAGAAAAGAAATTACTATTTAGTATTTAAGTTAGAGTCTTTTACTTAATAAAATCAATTGTTTCTTTCTTATAAAAATAATGTGTAAAAGAGTATTTACAATCTTAAATTTTGAACTTTTATTAAAAATTAATTAAATAATAAAATTAAAAATTGATTAACCAAAGTACCTATTTAATAATTATATGATAGTAATTAATCTTTCCACAACCTCATTAATAATAACAAAACAGATATAATAATAATAATAATAATAATAATAATAATAATAATAATTAAAAAAACTTAATTATTAAATGTATAAAATTAATTTTGAAAATCCCGTAAAAATAAAAATAACCAACCGATGTAATACTATTTTTAGGACTCTAAATCAATATATATATATATATATATATAAATGAGGATCATAGAGGACCTGATGTGGCACCTCTCTATGGCCTCCATTTCAATCTCTTTTTTTCCTCCTTTTTATTTTTTTCATTTTTTTTCATTAAAGAATTTGTTTATTAATTAAAAAATTTATTCATATTTATTATTTTAATTATACCTAATAAGTTACAACAAAACCTCCATCTATTTACATTCCCTACTTAAATAATATGTCTCTTCAACTTATTTTTAAAATATTCTTATGGTTTACTGTAACGACATGTTTAGTCGTTTTGAGCAGTAGATTTTATTTCTGAAAAAACTGGCTGAGACGACGGATCCCACGACGGACCGTCATAGGCACGACGGACCGTCGAGGGGGTCTCGTTCCAAAACACTTAGAATTCTGAAATTTGGGTACTGAAATCGACTCTCTGAACTTCATGACGAAGTGGCAGGACGGACCTTCACAGGCATGACGGGCCGTCACAGACTCTTTAATAAATCGAGTCTCTGAACTTTGTGACGGAAGCAGCAGGATGGACCGTCGCAGGCACGACGGGCCGTCACAGGCTGCGTAAACCCTGACTGGGTCGGATTTCTGCTTAATATTTTAAGGGGCGTTTTGGACTATTCCTGCTATAATTATAAATCTAGTGGGTTAATGTTAATAATTTAACTACTGGAGGGTTAAAGGAGATAACCTTGAATTAATTAATGGGTTAATTCATCATCTTTTATACTTAATTATATGCTAATTAGGATAAAAGAAAGAGGGTTTGAATAAGAAAGATAGAAAGAATAGAGAGAAGAGGGAGAAACGATCGATTGAGAAAGAGGAAGAACGCAGCTTTGGGAAAGTAGATTGCTTGATCACAATTCTTCGGTGGAAGTAGGTTATGGTTTTTATGCTATTCGTAGTAAACTTTTAATAGCGAATGATATGTATTGGGTAGTGTTGTAAACCCTTCTATATGCTTAATTGTATGCTTGCATGGATGTGATGATATAATTGTGATGAAATAAGCATGATGAAGCTATTGAATCCTAAATCTTGAAAACCTCTTGTTAATGATGATGTCTTGGTATAAAAGAAGGCTTGATGAACTAAAAGAATGAGGTTAGGGGATCGGGTGTCACGAACCGACACGTAGTAATAGAGGGATCGGGTGTCACGAACCGACACGTAGTAATAGGGGGATCAGGTGTCACGAACCGACACGTAGCAATAGGGGGATCGGGTGTCACGAACCGACATGTAGTATTAGGGGGATCGGGTGTCACGAACCGACACGTAGTATTAGGGGGATCGGGTGTCACGAACCGACACGTAGTATTAGGGGATCGGGGTGTCACGTTCCGACACAAGAGGAATAAAGAGAGTGAATCTTGAATTATGGTAATATACTCAGATTTAATGAACCTATTTCCCAAATGAGTATGGTATGGAGGCTTGTGTCCTCATGGGTGTACTTGGCGTACTTATTAATGATTATAGTACTTGATGTTGCTACCTGTTGAGTATTGTAGTTGATTTTATGATATTATCTGATATATACTGTTTTCTATTTTGAGTTGACCGATGATATCTACTCAGTACTCGTGTTTTGTACTGACCCCTACTTGTATGTTTTCTTTTTGTTCATTGTGGAGTGCAGCAAACGTACTATCGTCTTCAACCCAACCGCAACTCTAGCCAGTCTTCATCACACCAGATTTCAGGGTGAGCTAAAGCTTCTAGCTTGG